TCACTAGATGCTAATCGAAGCACTTGGCTAATGCGGTCAGCATGGGCTCATAATTAATCCACTCTGCACAGCTGTATGTTATTCAGCACTCTGGTCACTCTCATACAAGGCAAGCTTAAGCAAAGTAACTAGGAGTCACTAATCTCTATCACAGAAAAAATATGGGTGTGGAACCCTCATGAAAGATCTAATCAAAGTCTTCTCACAACTAAACGTCTTAATGACAGCAATATCTTTCCTGCTTTGACAAAAAAAGCGTTGTTTTTTGAGACAATCTTTGCCTCCCTCCACTGGTTTTTCCATCTCTCTCCCAGCTGATAGGAATTTCTACTTTTCACTCTTAAAGCTTTCTGGCACTCTGTCATATTTTATTCACTGTCAAGATATTGACTTGCTTGTTTGCTTAGACCATAATGCTAGCTACTGTCATCCACTTGTTAATAGGCTACTTCAAGCTTTATCACACAGTATACCTCATGCTCTGCAGGATCTCCTTGTGAAAAACCACAAAATAAAAGAGCTTCTCTCCTTGAATAGCTTCTTTAAAGTTCCATATTTCCTCTGTTACACTCTCAAAAAAAAAACAAAATGGTTAATCTTCTGGGCAACTGTACCTAAGCAGAATGACTTTGGTGTTGTTTCCTACAAGCACCCCTGAGGGATACAACCTACCGGTCCCACCTTCCCCTGAAGGTAGAAATGTCTTTCAAGAGTCTCATCTTCCTAGCATTAGTTATTGATGTCATCTCAAGGACAAATGGGATAGGTGCTTAGAAAAGAAATAGAGTGCTGGAGCCTGTTCCTGTGGAGCAAAGTAATGCTCGAGGGTACTTGAAAGCAGACAGCATACTTCTACTCCCATAGCCTTGCCAACTGTTCACCCTAAACTCAGCACTCCAGAGGGAATACTGTGTAGAATTAATTTAGCCCCAGTAACCCTCTTGAATAACTGTGTAGTAACATCCTCTCTTGCTGACCAATATTTCCTTGAAGTGCCCTGCCTGTCAGCCTATAATGGACTTTTGCCTTCTATTATATCTTATTATTATCTCCTTTTGTTTTCAGATTAGAAGACTTCTGGTACTTACCTTTACTGGCCTGTGCTTGAACAATATGTAAAACAATGACATCTAAGTGTCCTCGGTGCTGTAGTAACCATTATCATAAATCTTCCAAGGAAAAAATTTAATTTGGACAGAATGTTAACACCAAAATAAAGTTGAACCAAGTCTGATCCCTAGGAACAAAAACTCTAGAAAGTCTGCGTGGCAGGGTTCTTTTTTTATTCTTTATAGCATAACAAGTTGGGGTTAGGAACATATGTACATACAAAAATTTCTCATTGTTCTAGCTTGGGAGATTCTGTTATGACTGAAGAAATCATGAAATATTTAAAGTCTGAAAACCAAGCTATTGCAAAGAGAATGTGTTACATGAGAGTATTCAGAACTCTGCTCTCTGTTTTTGCTAACAAATAAAGAGCATGTATGACAAAAAATATTTTGATGAATTGCTCATGAGAACGACTTCTGCTTTTTGACTTCCTGACCCCAAATCCGTGTTCCGTTGAAGACTTGTCTTCTTATAGACTTTTTTTTTTCCAATATGCCATTTTGAATTTCAAACTTTTAAGATTTTAAACTTAGGACTTTATAATAACCTCCTGGAAGAGAGCTACTGCCTTCTGACCCAGCTGACAAGTATTAATACTGGTTATGGGTTCTGCCAAGCATCCCTTTTTTATGAGTATACAGGACATTTTCAGCTGTGTTCTGAATCAGTAATTTTTATCAGATATTCCTGTGCAGATATTCCTATACCTTACATAAAGATGCTTCTTCCTCTCAGAAAGCAACAACAGAGAACAGTGCCTTCAAAATTACTAACATGTAACAAGCTGCAAAAGAAACGGAAAAGGGGAAATCCAACCTTTTAGACCTTTTTTATATTGCATAGGGGAAGCAAAAGGAACAGCTCTCAATTAAAAATAAATCCCTATCAAGTTACCTTTAAATTACCCTGATTAGTACGAACAGTCTTGACATATACACTCTCCCATACCCTCTATAGGGAATAGAGAGAAATATTGCCTCTTTTCACACTCATAAATTCAGGGATTTTATGGTAGTACATCAAGTACTTAAAATATAATAGAGAGATTATGGTCGTTAGGTTGGATCATCTTCTGTAATTAACATGTTTAGGTACCACAGTTGCAAGCTGAGCTCAAATCAGGTTGGTGGAGATTTCAATAGCTCCTCCAAGATGACGTTTCCTGAATGCCAAGCTTTATTTTGGCAGTAATCTTCCGGTCCCTTGGGGGTTCGGCAAAATGTTTTCAGTCACCCAGATTTTCTAAGAGTCACAGTGACATCTACCTGAGTCTGTAGAGAGCCTGAAATGATAACTGAAGGGTCAAACATTCCCCATTTATCTCAGAAAGGCGCTAACTCAGTGACAGGTGATAACATGCAAAAGATCCGAGACTGGTCTACTATCACAGGATATAGGACTATAATGATACTGATTACAGTGCACAGTTATTTGGCCTTATCTAGGGGCCATGAAGGAAAGAAGCTACCACATCTTTAACTCATTCAAGGAGGAGACAAGTCCCAAAAGCTCAGCAGAGCTCAGAGAAACCTCAGAAGTACTACAAGCCTCAAGAAACACTAGATATAGATTTACAAGGGTGAGTCAAGACCAAGAGAGCACATATTGTATTGTATTGGAGTTTCTGTAGAATCTGCTATGAGCACAGTTATACAGTAACTCTTTGAATTAAAAGAGCTTACTTAAAGGAAACAGCAAGAAATAACACAATAACACAATAACACAATCATTACCATTTTCAACTAGACCCTGACAGCCATAAATGGAGAGTATGAACTTTTTAACTTTTCTAACGCAATAGACAACAGTGAAATAAAACTAAAAATCAGCGTGATCCCTTGGGCCAAACATAAGGCAAAAAAAAAAAAACAAAAAAAAAAACCCAAACTATTTTCAGAAATCTAAGCCTCAGACTGGCGCAAGCTAGACAGGCAAAGCTTAAGTTTAGTGACCGTTTTTGTCTTTCTCACAATCATTAGTGAATGACTGCTGCAAAGGTGTAGTTGGAGGGTTGTATGTGAGGAGCCAGAGCAGTGCTGACCAGGGAATTCTGCGCAGCATCTTGGCTACATGATGCATGATACGAGTGAGTATTAGCATCATTTTACTTTCACGAAAGCAAAGATGAGTCCCCGAGGTGTTCTAAAAATATGGATGAATATTAAGATTGCATGGCTCTTTTGAAATTGTTTGGCACCTCCAGCCTCCAGCTCCCAGTTTGGGAGTTAAGGTGTGGGGAAACAAGTGGGGAAAGGCAGGAAAGATAACGAAGATGAAGTGCGGCAGCGAGGAAATGCTTGCCACAAGATGGCAGCAATGCCACGTCTTTCTCTGCACATCGCCTGGCCCTGGAATTTTTTGAGTGAGAACCGCAACAACATTTATACATAAATACAAGCTTATTACAAAATCAGCCTACCTCGTTCAGTGCCCATTCACCACCTTCTTGCAGCTTACAATGAGAAAACAACTTTGCATATTTCATCAAGAAAGAAAACTCATCATAAATGAATAATTACAACCTTGAAACTACCTTTCCGGAGGTGTTCGGGTTTCTTTTTTTTTTTTTTTCCTGTGAGCCTTTGTATATTAATTACAGATAATGGAGTTAGGCCCAGTGAGCAGTATTGGTAGTGGTAATCTTTACAATTCTTACTCAATCAAAGGTCAAATTTCAGTACTTTTTTTGCCACCTCTATCTGCAGGTAGGCCTGGTGCAGAAACTCGTTGGCAATGGGCATCACCTTGCAGAGCCATGGGAGCGTGGGGGCCTGTGGCAGGCTAACAGTGGGTCACCATTTCCCTTCTCTTGGGCTTGGGGAACAAGCTCCACTTGTTTTCAGAGCGGTATTGGGGAAGCCCTTGCCGCACGCTGCCATGCGCTGGAGAGGTCTGCTAATGGCACAAATTCCTCTTGGCAACAGGAGCCACGAGGAATGGCAGCATAAAGACAAACTGGCGTTTCTCAAGGAGGCTTTGGCTCCTCTCCTTCCCCTTAGGAAGATCAGTTTGTTCTGATGAGCAGCTTGGAAGGCACCGACAAGGCACATTTGAGACCTGAAAGCCTTCCTCTCGGCAGAGCAGGGATCGAAAGAGCGCAGAGTTTCAGCTAGAACTAGGGATGCCCCCGCTGGGCGACGTAACCTCTGGGTGGAGGGTCCGAGGCTGCGGAAGAGCCGGGGGCAGGGGCTGGGCTCGGCGGGGAGCAGGAGCCCCCCGA